GAGTTGAGCGAAAGGCAGCAAGAACGGCGTCTGGTAACCTGCGAAGGGCTGCTCGCCAGGCATGAAAAGAAGTCATTTTTGCACCGAATCGTAACTTCTGATGAGAAATGGATCCACTTCAGCAATCCTACGCGCCAAAAGTCGTGGGGCCTGCCCGGCCAATTTCCAAAACAGACGCCTAGGCCCAATCGCTTCGGAAAATGGTGCATATGGTGGGACCAGACCAGCGTAGTATATTTCGAGCTCCTGAAACCTGGCAAAATGGTCAATACTAGTCGCTACGAACAACAAATGCACAGTTTGAGAGAGGCGTTGAATGAAAAAAGACCGGAATGGCGCGAAAAGCACAACAACCTGATACTGCAGCATAACAACACTCCAGCCCACAACGCTGCGGTGGTCAAAAACACCATAAAAGACTTGGGCTGGGAACTCTAACCCCACCCGCCGTACTCACCAGACTTAGCGCCGTCGAACTACCACCTTTTCACATCTTTAGGACACGCCCTAAAAACCCAGGAATTTTCAAACTCAGACATACTCCTAAAATGACTTGTTGACTGGTTCGACTCAAAAGGAATAGAAATTTTCAGACAAGGAATTCGAAAATTGCCTGAAAAGTGGTCCGAGTGTATAGCTAATCAGGGCAGTTACTTTGAATAAAAAATCTTTTGTTGTATGGAATTGGTGAACTTTTGAATTCACTGAAAATTTTCGCGTTTCATATTAATAGACCTGGTATATATACTGTATATATATATTGCGCGTAATTGATTTTTAAATATATAATTGTAATATCTTTGATTTGATAAAACGCATATCTAAAATTCCAAGTCAGAATCCTAGGAAATCGAGGGGAAATAATCGTAAGCATATAAGAGGTTTTTCTAAATAAATGAAATTATTATATACAAATTTTATTTTATTTTGAATTATTTGTTCTATAACAACTCTGTAAAGTCGACCGCCAGATAGCATGGCTATAGACATCTTATAAACTCATTGTTGTACTTTGGCCTGCATAAATATTTTTGTAAATTTGTAAATACGTAATATTTTATTTTCATTCTAACGCTTTAATTATATCAAATTATATCTCAAGTGTCTCAAATTATGACCTATATATTTTTATCAGTACAATTGAATCAAATTTTGGCTAAAAAAATGGATGCATTTTCTAAATAATAAAATTGAAAATAATAAATGAATTAATTAATATCAAAATAGCGATATATTTTCAATTATGAAAAAGCGAGCATTGTAGAACAACAACAACAAAAAAGGACGTTTCTCTATCTACTATAATATTGTAGCAAAGAATTTATTATTTTATTAACAGAGTATCATTTTTTCATGTTTATATTTTGCTACTCTCTGTAAACTTCCCTCATTACTTATATATATTTTTAATCATTCATAGTTTTATTTATTGCGTTAAATAAATTGCCGTGTCATACTGATGTTTGTCCTTCCTAAATTTCCCGCGTGGCATTTTGGTGGATATGCTGGGCAAATTAGGAAAGACAAACTGAAGATCGCCGAGAAGACCTAGAAGCCATGGGTGCTATAATCTACTTTTCAGAGACTGGCTCCAGGATTCCACCGCCGTGTCAAAGCTAAGACTTCCCTCCAAGATGACAATGTCCCTATAGGCGATGCGACGACAAAGCCGCTTTTCACGTCGCAATAAAAAGGACGCAAAAGTACTAGGGATAAAGTTCCAATACCTCGATGGAATCCTTGGCAGAAGTACGTCAGGTCCATGTCAGTAACTACAATATTTGCAAGCTGTGCGTCACAGCTCCAATAGGGAAGGAGCTATGTAGCAAAATATTTATTATTTTATTAGCAGAGTATTATTTTTGATGTTTATATTTTGCTATAATATGTAAACTTCCCTCATTTCTTATCTTTTTTTTCTACATCCATAGTTTTGTTATTGCCTTCAATAAATTTCTGTGTCATACTGAAGGTTTTTTTGTCTTTCCTAATTTTCCATGTGGCAATATAATAGAAAAAAAAATTGAATAACCTTATCTAATATACATCAGATAAGGAATTCAAATACATATGTTTTAGAAAAACATTTATTATTATAAAAGATAAATGAGCTGGCAGATAAAAAACATTTGTAAAAAAATAACCGTTTTTCATTATACGATAGGAGAATGATTCATCAAAAAAGAAGTAAATAATTAAGAGTAAATTATTGGTTTCCTCTTATAACAAGCCCTAATTTAGAGAAGAATATTATTTGTAAGCAGAATATTTTGAAGATAAATTTAAAGTTTTTATCAATGTAATTACTCTCCTTTAAAAATATGCAAATTGGATTATAAATATAAAAAAATTGAATAAATTTGATATTGTTTAAAAATATATTTATAGCACAAATTCAAAATAAAATATTTATAATAGGGTCGTGAAGAACATTTTTTAGAGAGAGAGAGTTTTAAGAAATATTTTGAAAAATATTATATATTCTGCGAAGTTTGATATATTTTCTTGAGTTAATAGCTTGAGAAAAATTAATGGATATAATTGGATAGGGATTACAATTATTTCTTACTTTTAAATTATAGTTTTTTAGAGTGTAATTCGTTTATTGTAAGAACTAGGGAATTAGTTTATTTTGGTGTTGTCGATGATGTGTCGCTGAAAATATTTTGTGACTAGTACATAATATCAAAAGGTGGATAAAAAAAAACGATAAAGGATTATTTGAAAAAGTGCAAATTTGAATACAATTTTATTTTCAATCCTCTACATAACCCGCTTCTTTTCTATACACTTCTTTCAAAGATCTGGTATTTTGTAAATTCCCTATAGGGAAAAATCGTGTGTGTGTTAGGTAAGCCATCCATGCACCGCATTTTTAATCTCATCATCAGTTCGAAGGTTATGCCCCTTTAAAATATTTTTAAGTGCACAAATAAATAATTTTCATTCTAGACTAAATCAGTTGAGTAAAGGGGATTGATTAGAACTTTAAAATTTAATTTATTGATGGTGTCAATGGCGAGATTTGCCACGTGGGGCCGAGCATTATCATGTTGTAGGCAAAGACCTTTGCTCAACAAACCACACACCTTTTGAAACAATTTTAGGCTTCACATTTTTTAAGGAGCTCAGAATAAACTATGCAGTTAACTGTTTGGCCTTTAAGAATATAATATTCAGAGATGCATCCTTTACTGTTCCAAAAATAGTCAAGAGTATATTTCCAGCAGAAGCTGTTATCATTGTTTTTTTTTTTTTTTGGTGTTGGTGAACCCCCTTGTGATACCATTCTGCACTTGTACTTTTAGAGTCAGGAACGTGAGGGTGTATCCATGAATCATTTACGGTCACTATTCTATCAAGAAAATCTTCTTCCTCAATTTCATAACGTTTCAAAAGCTCTTTACAAACATTAAGACGTTTCTCATTTATTTCCTTTGTGAGCATCCGAAGCACCGATCTTGTGCAAATATTTCTGTACTTTAAATGTTTCGAACGCTACCATAACTAAGGTTAATTTCGGCAGAAATAACTCTAATGCTAATGTGACTATTGTTCTGTATCATCTCGTCAATAGCCCAGGTGGTTGCATCATCACTAACCTTGACCGGGGCGCCAGGTCGCGGTGCGTCATCCAAACTTTCTATGCTGCTTTTGAATTTTCTACCCCATTCAAATTCCATTCGATTTTGAGATAAATATTTATCACCGTAAAAATCTTTCATTCTATAGTAAATTTCAAATGGTTCATGATAAAGAAATGGTATTACTGCTCGCATTTCATACCTGGTGCAACTGTTTGTTTTGAAACTGTTATGTCGCCATTTTTATTGGAAAAGAAATGTTGCCAGATGGTTTTTTACTTGATATTTTTTTGAATATATATAACAACAGAGATCAATATAAATGTAAATGCCTATATACATTTGTTTTCTTCTCTGTTTTTTTTTCTATTAAACCTTTATCGTTTTTTTATTGATCCACCCTTGTATATTGGACTGACGGAGGCCATTAATACAAAGCTATAGTATCCATGTGGGCGTTTTGAATTTTCATAGTGGATGTTGTGGCCTTCTCACCTATCCGAGTTCGCGGAGATTGTTAATGAATAGCGCTTAGTTTTATAATGTAATTTTGAAGGAAGAGGTAACCTTTCTCAATATACTGGTGTTACTTGTATTCACACTCATAGACAAACTCAAGGATATGGAAAGTATTTGATATTGCTGAACTTTTATTTTCCTCCCTTAATATTTTGAAGGAGACAGAGGCAAATTTGTTCACATATGGTTATCTGGTGTCTTTAATAAAGGTCATTGTGTATCAAATATTTTTCAAAGTTATTGTCTGAATAACGATATACATGCTGAAAGTTACAACTTCCTTATGTTTTGTCCATGAGTGTATATCTTCCTGTCGAATATACAATGTATATTCTTGCATAGCTCAACAGGTGGTCTTTTTTTGTCATATTATCTGTAACTGATGTCGTGGAGCATTCCTTATTATTACCATAACGTTCTAAACGTAGATGATAAGCAAATATTATTGGTATAATACATTTTAAGAGAGTGGTACATTTTTTTGGTACATATATATGTTTATGTATTAATTGGGTCAATGTAAATATAGCAATACTTTAAGGTTATTGCATATGAATTTATATACTGTCGTTCGAATAGAAAATGAGGTGATTTTTTTTTTTCCAACAGTTATTTTGATTTAACTAAACAAATTTCGTTATAATATTACAATAATACATAATTGAGTTTATAGTTATATAATTATATCTAGTTCATCATTACTCTTCACAATTTATCCTTTCATACCTCATCCATATGGTTAGAAATAATCGTTATTTCTCCTTAAAATGAATTAAGATTTTTCGTTCAAAGGAAACACATGCGGAATAATTTTCAAATGTCGTTTTACAATCACAAGCCGCAATATATTATATTGTATTATAAATTAGTTTGTATTATTTACGTACGGAAAAATATATCCAGGTTAGCCTAGTGGACATGGCATCTGCCCGGTAAGCGGAACATTGAGGGTACAATTCCCATCCCTGGACACTTTTATTTTTCCGTTTAGCATTACTCTTCACAATTCATCATTTCCTACCTCAAGTCTAAAGTTAGAAATAATCGTTATTTCTCCTTAAAATAAATTTTGATTTTTCATTCAAAAGAAATAACCTGATATTTTTCAAATATCGTTTTACAATATTACAAAAAACATATTTTTAAAATATTGTAGCGTAAAAAATTGAGTCTTTTTATATGTGGGGATGTGAAAGTATTTATTGATGACGTCAGCACGATAAGTCGACAATTATCAACAACTCAAAAAAACTATCTACAGCTAGAGAATCTTGAGCAAGCACACAAAGAAATATTTCGATCATTATTTTATATTGAATAATTAAATTAAATTAAATCTGTTTCCAAATGTTTCATTGAATAATTAAAATAAATTAAATAATAAATTCTTCGCCACATAACCTCCTCCTATAAAGAGCATCGACCCGATGCTAAAGACTTACATCCTCACTCTCAAGGCTCGAGAACGGGTGATAGGGCCTGAGATCTCTTCGCGGGTATGTGGTTGTTGTGTTCGTTCAGTGGGGGTCTTCTTCCTGGACGCTTGGCGAGTCATCTTCTGGGTCCTCTTCTAGGTGGTCCCTCTGGTCCTCTGGGTTTAAATAAGGTTTCATTCTACAAACGTGAACCAAGTCTTTTGTTTTACGATGACCTTGCTGGTTTCCGAATGTCGCAAATTCGTAGGTAACATCGGATATTTTTCGAGTTTTTTTATATGGACCGAAGTAAGGTCTCATTAGTTTTTCTGAATATCCCACTTTACGCACAGGCATAAAGATCCATACGAGATCTCCAGGCTGGTAAGTTATGTTGCTGTGGTGAGAGTCATAACGGAGTTTATTACTTTCCTGAGACCTCATAGAGTAGAACATGCCAGTTGTCGTGCTTCTTCCGCTCTCGACCCTAGTGTTTGCAGGAAGTCGTCATCTTCTGGGACTAACTTGGGAAATAACAGGTCCAATGGCGTTTCTGCTTCACGCCCATGCGCAAGGAAGAATGGAGTGAATCCGTTGGACTCTTGCCTTGCTGTGTTGTATGTGAATGTCACAAATGGAAGGATCATATCCCAGTCTTTCTGATTGACGTCAACATACATAGGCAGCATGTCTGCCATGGTCCTGTTCAGCCTTTCTGTGAGTCCATTCGTCTGAGGGGGGTAGGCGGTCGTCGTCCTGTGAATTATTCTGCAGTGATTGTTTAGATCACGAGTCAATGATGAGGTGAAATTTCTTCCTCTGTCGGCGATTAGTTCCCTCGGACCACCGTGTTTCAGAATTACATCCTCGACCAATAATTTATTAAGCGTTCTCGATGCATAGGCAATATCTCTTTCCTTTCCATTCTGAATTTGTACCAAAACTGCTCCTATTCCATAGCTGCATGTATTTCTGTTGGGGTTGAATAATCAAAATGTCCCAAGGCAGGTTCGGAATTTAGTTCTGACTTCAGAGCATCGAATGCATGTTGTTTTTCTAGGCTCCAACAAAATTTGGAGTCATTTTTCAAAAGTTCAGTCAAAGGTTGGGCTAAATGTGAATAATTAGGTATGAAACGGCGGTAGTAGGAAGAGAGTCCTAAGAAACTTCTTACTTCTTTTAATGACTTGGGTGCAGAGAAGTCACGGACTGCTCGGATCTTTTCAGGGTCAGGTCGTATTCCATCTCCACTTACTTCATGGCTGAGAACAGTGATAGTTTTTGCCCCAAATTTACATTTTTTTGCATTAAGGCACAGACCAGCTTGCTTCAGACAATTTAATACATTTTTAAGGCGTCGTAGATTTTCTTCAAAATTTTCTGAAAAACCATTATGCCATTTAAATAACATAAGCAGGTCGTCCACTTAAGACCTTTCAGCAGGTTGTCCATCATCCTCTCGAACGTAGCCGGAGCATTGCATAACCCGAATGGCATTACTTTGAACTCATACAGTCCATCTGGAATTATAAATGCTTTCTTCTCACGGTCTGATTCTTCTACGTCGATCTGCCAGTACCCTGATTGGAGGTCCATGGAAGAATAAAATTTAGCTCTCTGTAAGCAGTCTAAAGTGTCGTCGATCCTTGGGAGAGGGTAGACATCCTTTTTTTAATTTTGTTCAGGCGGCGGTAATCGACGCAGAATCTCCAGTTTTCATCCTTTTTTCCTTATCAATACTACAGGTGAGGCCCATGGACTTTCAGATGGATAAATAAGGTCAAGTTTTTCCATCTTGTTTACATCATCCTGAATAATTTGGCGTTCTCTTGGTGCAACTCGGAAAGGTATTTGTTTGGTCGGTAGGTGGTCTCCAGTGTTAATTCGGTGTTTAACATTGACGTCCTTGAATTGTTTTCTTTTACTAAATTCGAAAATATCTGTATATTTATTTATTTTTATTATTATTATTTTTTAAGATTCATCAAGTGAATCATCTATTAGAAAATCTGAGATTTTTGGGTCTTCAGAATGTTTCACCCCTGTTTCAACTCGGTTACAATCAGTTAGAGTACATAGAAATAGAAAAGAAGCCATATATACTCCATTTCATGTAAATAACTGTAATTCTAAATATTTAGGGGAGACTGGGAGAGAAGTTCATAATAGAATAGCTGAACATAATAGGAATATCATCAATAGTGACCCAAGATCTCTAATAGTTCAATATATAAAAGAAACAAGCCACACATTTAACTTATATAATACACTGCGGCCTGTGATTGTAAAACGACACTTGAAGTTACACCGCATGAGTTTCTTTTAAAGGAAAAATCAAATTTTTATTTCAAGGTAAAATATCGACTATTTTATAAACCTTTTTGGATGAGGTATGAAAGGGTGAATTATGAAGAGTAATGACGAACGGAAAAATAAAATAAAAGTGTCCAGGGATGGGAATCGAACCCACAATGTTCCGCTTACCGGGCAGATGCCATGTCCACTAGGCTACCCTGGACGTATTTTTCCGTTCGTAAATGATACATAAAGTAACTTATAATACAATATAATACACTGCGGCTTGTGATTGTAAAACGACACTTTAAAAGAAACTCATGCGGTGTAACTTCAAGTGTCGTTTTACAATCGCAGTGTATTATATTGTGTTTGGAGATATCCATTTATTGCTGTACGCCGACGACATAGCAATTATAGGTGAGTCCAGGATGAACCTCCAAAAGAAGATCAAAATACTGAAAGAATATCTCGATGAGAACTTAATGACACTAAATGAGTCCAAGTCAAAGATTATAGTGTTCCGTAATGGAGGTAAACCCTCAAATAAAGATAGATGGTTCTTGAATGATAAACCCATAACAATAACTTCAAGATATACATACTTGGGATTCCCTCTGACACCAACAATAACAACTACTCACCCGGCAAATTACTTTAAAGGAAAAGCACTTACAGCAATTAACGCCACACACCCAATATTAATAAAATCAAAAGCAAAGTCAATAAATTTATCAACCAAACTCTTTGATACAATAGTGAGAGCTGTCCTGATGTATGCCGCTCCATTGTGGGCAACAGAGCATAAAGACTTATTGGATAGTATACAAGACATATTTATCCGTAGGTTCCTGAATCTGCCCAGATACACTCCAGGCTACATAATCAGATTAGAAACCGGTCGTATCTCATTGAGTGTAACAGCTTTAAAATTAACCCTGAAGTATTGGCTGCGGATGTTGAATATGAGCAGTGACAGATTGCCGAATATATGTTTTAATAGAACACGGGAACTGTCTAATGCTTCGGGAACACCCATCGGTTTCATTAAAAAGCTCACCAATCTGCTTAACAATAATGGATCCCCTGCACTTGTTTCCTGTGATGATCCTGAAACGCTGAGGAGCGCGATTACAGGGCTCTTAAAAACAGCGGCAGACCAATCTATACAAAACGACCTCACAAGAATGGATAAATCTAAGTTATACTCTCACTACCTAGACATTCACATATCTTTCATGACGGAGGGATACCTTTTAGGGGATTTTCCTTTCCCGGTTGTAAGACTACTCGCACAAGTTAGAATACTTTCAAGTTTTTTTTAGAGAAAACCACATCAAGATGCTCTGCGGTGAGGACCCGATTTGTACCTTCTGTAATTCAAAACTAAAAAATGAAATCGCTCACTATATTTTTGATTGCTATGCTCTGAAAGAAGAAAGAAGAACCCTTATGCACAAAACTGGGCAACTCTGTGCTTCACTTCCATCAATAATTGACAATATGACCCAGAATAAGTATATTGCTACGGCGTTTTATGGTTTCCACAAGTCCGTATCTCAGAAGAAGGCCAAGTGACACTCACTCCTCACTTTCTTACTGCTACTCTTTTTGTGTTGTTTTTCTTGCTTCCCTCTTTCTCTTTCTTGTTTTTTTTTTCTTTTTCTTCTGTATTTATCGTTATTTCCTTTGTCTCACTGCTTTGTTCTTATGCATACCTCTGGTGAATCCTGTATAGGATCAGTGACCCTGAATAAAGGCTTTTTGTTGTTTTGTTGTTGTATTATATTGTATTATAAGTTACTTTATGTATCATTTACGAACGGAAAAATACGTCCCGGGTAGCCTAGTGGACATGGCATCTGCCCGGTAAGCGGAACATTGTAGGTTCGATTCCCATCCCTGGACACTTTTATTTTATTTTTCCGTTCGTCATTACTCTTCATAAATCACCCTTTCATACCTCATCCAAAAAGGATAAAAAATAGTCGATATTTTACCTTGAAATAAAAATTTGATTTTTCGTTTAAAAGAAACTCATGCGGTGTAACTTCAAGTGTCGTTTTACATTCAACTTATCCCATCCCATAGTGCATTACGACAATATCCACAGTAAATACCAAAGACTCTTTTAATAGAATCTATGATAACCAAACAAAAAAAAGGAAAAACAGATGCATAGAAATATCAGAATTATATGAAAAAATATTAACAAACACTAAGCCTTAGATTTAAAATATGTAAAATACACCTATCCCTCGA